CGTAAGCTAAGGCGAACGGCGAGAATCCGGTTGCGCGTCGAGGAGTCGTGCGATGCGACCATAATACTCCGTCGAGTTCGTCGGCCCAAAGTCCCTTTTCCGACCTAACCTTTTCTTGATGCCGTCGAGGATAGTTTTGTTGGTAGCCTCAGCCTGGCCGTTTCCTTGAGGGTATCGCGGGGTTGAAGTACTGAGTTTGATGTGCCATTTTCTGAAGAACCGCTTGGTTAGGTAGGAAGTGTATTGGGATCCGTTATCTGTGACGATCTCATAGGGAATACCGTGTCGGCAGATAATGTACTTCCAGATGAATCCGGTTACGTCGCCCGACTTGACCTGACTGAACGATTCCGCCTCTACCCATTTGGTGAAAAAGTCGGTGAGCACCAGCAAAAATCTTTTAGTGCGACAAGGAGTAAAGGGTCCGACGATATCCATGGCCCATCGCATGAAGGGGTAGGGTGCTGTCACGGGAGAAATCGGTTCGGGAGGTACGTGTTTCAAAGTGGCGTGCCTTTGACAAGCTTCGCACTTTTGGGCGAATGCCTCGCAGTCGGCGAGCATAGTTGGCCAAAAATGGCCGTCTTTCTTTATTTTTAGGGCCAACGTGCGTCCACCCGAATGGTTCCCGCCGTCTCTTTCGTGGACCTCGCTCATAATCCTTTCGCTTTCGTCTCGATCGACGTAGGTAACGAAGGTTCCGTTAGAACTTCTCCGGAGAAGTTCTCCATTGGTCAGAATGTAATTGGCACATCGGGCTTTTAGTCGTCGAGCCTGCCACCGGTCTGCGGGAACCTGACCGCTTTGTATGTAGAGTTTGATCTCTTCCCGCCAGTCGACCGGGGGGGCTTGTTCCTCATGGGGCTCGTTCTCAACCGGGTCGATCTCCATTTGGACCAAGTCGTTCATGATGAGGTTGATCTCATGAGGTTGAGCGATGCTTGGCAGATCGATACTTTTGATGGGGATGGATCGGCGGAGGTCTGGATTTGCGTTTGAAGCTAAGGCGGCGAGGGCGTCGGCCGAAGTGTTGTCGCTGCGTGGAATTTTTGTGAGAGAGAAGCTATCGAATTCGGCTGAGGCGGATCGGACTAACGCCAGATAAGAACTCATCCGCTCGTTCTTGGTGTCGAATTCTCCGCTGAATTGGCTTACGACCAGTTGTGAATCGCAAAATGCCTGGATATGTTTTATTCCGATGCCCCTAGCAAGTCGTATTCCTGCGAGCAAAGCTTCGTACTCGGCCTCGTTATTGGATGCTTTGAAACCGAGTTTCAACGATTGTTCCAGAACCTCGCCTTTCGGTGATCGCAAG